AACGAAGCTCGTATGCGAAAGTTATGGACGAAGCTTAGTCTCTACTTTTCGAGCGCGGCGAATTCGATACAGTTTTGTAAATCCGAGATAGAATGAGAATTAGCCAACGGAGTCTAAATGAAAGTTGTAGTACTCGTAAATACCAACGTGTGGATATAAAGAACGTAGAAAACGGAGCTCGTACGCGGAAGATACGGACGAAACTTAGGGGCTACTTTACTATAAAATCCCTATAAATAAAGGGTGAACTCTTCATATTTTCTTCACACCATAAGCCTTTCTTTCTCTCTCTAACTTCTCTCTAGCCTCCCTAAACCCCTCCCAAGTCTAGGGAACCTCCCTAGCACGAGAAGGAAGCCACGGAGCGCCCGACGGCTCCGAGACGAAAAGATTTCGGCTCGGAAGCGCTGCTCCAACGAAGCCCGATTTTTAATAAAACTCCGCTGTAAGTGAACTACGCCTATACTATATTTAATATAGCTTTTATTTAAATATAGTAATGTTATTAGGACCTTATAATAATTATTTGGGCTATTATTATGGGTTATATAAGTGTCGTTATAATATCTTTTTAACCACTCGTGGTACGGGGAATCTGGTTTGGAGGGCCGCTTGGGTTGCTGGATTCAGAAGTGCTATATGCCGAAATGATCCTGCCCTCCGGTGTTTCATGTCTGGTCCCTGTCTGTACATAGTGGTTGAGAAATATTGTTTCGTGCTTATATAATAGTAATAATAGTTAGACTATTAATTAGTCTCGGTGAATATTAGACTAAACTCTAGTGGTAATGATACTAGGTTTTGTCAAAGGAAAATTGTTTTAAGAGTAACAAAGCGTTGTCCGAGTACCGAGTCACCACCTTATCAGGTGAGTGCATAGTTACTTTCATCTTACACATAGATATGAAGTATTTTATATAAATTACGTGCTATGTGTGCATATTATCTGTATACTTGCTATCTATGATGGATGAACGATTTTATACATGTTTTAAATGATTTAAACTGTATATGTATTTTATATCTACACAATATGTTGGGTAAAACATGGGTAGATGAATTATGAGTTGGATGATGAGATGAGAGGTGATATAGACCACTAGATATGGGTGAGAGGTGAACAATGAGGGAAACCTTTTACCCAAGCGTTAGACCCGTCATCTAACAAAGTATGGATGACAACCACAGACTATTCTAGACAGTCCAGCGGAACACTAGCAGGCTCACAACCTGTAGGTGTTGTGAACGATGTGTTCACCCGATGTACTCTAAACCCGGGCGACTATGCAGACTTAGTGCCCGAATCTTGGCGATCATGCAGACTTGGTGCCTAAACCCTGGAGATCATGCAGACTTGGTGCCTAAACCCTGGCGATCATGCAGACTTGGTGCCTAAACCCTGGCGATCATGCAGACTTGATGCCTAAACCCTGACGACTATGCAGACTTAGTGTCCGTTGTGTAAACTATGGCAACGATGGACTTCGTGTCGATTCCTTAGGATGATCCTTAGGAATGAATGAACGAGGAATAACTGATTCTTAGGGTAGATCCTTACGAATAAGGAAGATAACGGGGATGGGTAATTGGGTTAATTATTTGATGATTAAATATAATATAATTATAATATTATGGGTTGAAAACCCTATGTACTCACCAGGTTTCCCAACCTGATCCACTCAGTTTATTTATATCACAGGTGTTGATATGAAGTCACATTACACTGAGAGATTAAGGAGATATAAATCACTAGTGATAATGAATGTAAGTTCTGTTTATGCTTATGTTTCTGTATTTACGATGACATCCCAAATGTTTTAAAATGAATAAAAATACTTTTATTCGGAAATGCCTTGATAACGTATTTATCATGTTTTACTGGGAACAAATTCCGCAACAATGTTATTAAATAGGTACTATGATTTTTATAAAGCATAAACAAAATCGGTCTTTTCTGGCCGTGAAAATGGGGATGTCGCAATGCAGGGCCACCAATAATTAGGACAAAGATCTCTGTACATCTTCGTCGCCTCGAGATGAATAAAGTACCTAGACTGGTGCGCCTACTCCATGTGAACCTGACGCACACTGCCCCAATACAGAACCCATACCCTCCGATGAAGAGTCAACAACCCCCGACTATCATAATCAAATGAAGCCACCTGACCCCACAATATGCTCACTCTTCCGGTGCTTTTCCTTTATTGCCTCGACCCATGCCTCCCAACTCCGCTCCAATAGCACAATAATCACGATCATCCTCAAGCATATATCCCTGATCGGAGCCGCGACCGCCTTGCAGTTGAGAGCATCGGCCACCACATTGGCCTTCCCCGGGTGATAAAGGATCTCACAATCATAATCTTTCACCATATCCAACCATCGGTGCTACCTCATATTCAAATTTGGCTGATCCATCAGATACCTCGTGCTCTTGTGGTCCGTGTAAATAGTACAACAGACCCCATAGAAGCTGAAGTTTATGGCATGTATTCTCAAACCTGTGGAACTCACCAACAATTTTTGTTGACGTCTTTTAAAAGCATGTATTCTCAGGGACTTAGAAGCTGAAGTTTATGGCATGCATATTATGGAAAATCTATTTCCTTGTCTTTTTGTTGGCCTATATGTTCATGCCTTTATGTTATTTTGATTTACGTTTTGCTGAACTAGTATATGTATTATCGTATTTTCATAGTTCCAAATGATGTAACTTTTGAATCCAGATTAATGGAAGAATGTAATATCATCTAAGTCTTCGAATATTCATTATGTGTGTTAACCGTGATCCAACATTGAAGTCACAACCCTGATGCTTCCGGTGCCGGTCGGGGTGTGACAACATCATACATGACTGAGTCTGTATCTTTGTCAAAGCGTTCACTACCAACACCTTCTCCCGCTTTCTCTTCCTCGATCCAGTCAAATACAAGTTTACTATATTGATCAATGTATAAACTAATCTTTCCCCCATTACCATTGCAACATCAAGAAACGTAGCGTAATCATCATCATCTGCCAGTAGTCTCAATCCATCTCTCAATGACTTATGAACAAGACAGTAGTAGAAATTTATACACCTCTCCTTTAGTGAGATTTTGAAGAACATAAATGAACTTCTTGAACTCTATTCCACCAAAATCTACTTCTATAACGGAAACTTAAAGAGGGTTGAAGTAGACAAGATATTTGGGGGCAAATACTCCCTAGTCGTGAACGTTTACAGTAAGAAATTTTGCTTTATTTACAATAGACAGACCAACCATCCTCAATCTCTCAGTATAAAAGCTTTGACTGTGTATTGTGTTTGAGAAACCCTAACTTCCGCTACGTATTGTGTTTGAGAGTGTTTCCTATCATCCGATTAGGGTAAAGTCGTCTAATAGGGGGAGATGGATGTAATAGCCACGCAAGTCACACATACTTTCCACATCACTCATTCAAAATTTTTAATTATGAAAAATACCCGATAAACCTTTTGTATCAAGTTGCCTATGGTATAATATATACATTGTAAAAAATAAATTGGTAAAATATGTACATACAACACATATTAATGATATCTTTTGTACAAAAAAAAAATCAATGATATTTTTTGTATTCAGGCCAAAGATTTGAAATGACAAACATGTCGTGTCGTGTCAACACATTAAATGAGTTGAGAGGGTTTGACCCTAACCCAACCGGTTTAGTTATCGTGTCGTGTCGTGTCAAACCGTTTATTTCCGTGTCGATTTCGTATCAAGTTTCGGGTTAAAGTTTAGACATTGTAAATATATTATGTCATGTCGGGTTGAAACATCTTACAAGTTGGAAAGTAGGGGACAGGGAGGAAGGAAAAAGTAAAACACTGGAGTTGGGAGGTGGTATGACAAAATTCATAATAAGTTTATAAGACAAAATGTAAAAAGTTGGTAGGTGGTGAGGAAGAGTAAAATTAAGTTATTTTAAAAGTTTGAAACACTTTCAGACTTTTCGAGTTTTCGTTTCCGTAATTTGATTCAGCTTATCCCATCCCAAATTTTCATTTTAATTTTAATACTTGAGTTTGACCTACTACAAGTTTATAATATATAATATATTTATAATAATATAAAATTTATAAAAAAATGATATATAATTAAACGAGTCATATTCGCAGTGGCGAATTTAGAACATAAAACCACGTGGTTCCTTACTTAAATAACCCTAAAACATATAACAAACTAAAATATACTAGTAGCGGATCGGGTCAAAATATCAACATTTTTAGAATTGTATCCGACGAGGGCTTATATCTTGAAATATATTGATAATGATATCTTAATTGAAACTTTCTAATACATCTTTTTCACATGATAAAATTTCATAGTTGGTCGTTCTGCTGAATCAACGTGCAACATGTATGCGTAAAAGTCGAAAGTGTAGGCGACAATTCAGTTGTGGGCTTTTGTTTATTATTATTAATTTTGTTTAATTTTAATTTTAACGGATTGGACTAATTTTTGTTGGATAAATTTTAAGTTTGTTTAGGCATTATGTTATTTTTGTTTTTGCAAAAAATTATTTGGTAGTTCCTTCAAAAAATTTAAGGTAGTTCCCATAAATTTTTGCAATATAATTAAGCTTACAATTAAGATAATTAGGTAGGTCCTAGGACCCACCTTGATATACTATAGCTACGCCTTTACATATTCGAGTTGAAAGTTTTGACCTCGATCCTATCCATTTAATTTTCGTGTTGTGTCATGTTAACCCGTTTACATAAACATGTTGAAATCTGATACCCAAACTCGTTAATTTTATATCGGGTTGTCTTGTGTCAGATTTTACATGATAAAAAATAGTTGTCATTTTTTACTTTAAAAGTTAGCGGGTTTAACCCATTTAGTACAAAGATCCATATCCCTAAACGTGAATGTTGCCCGATTTGCCGTTTTAGGACTTGATGAGCTCATTCTCTTTTCGTTTTCCAATTTTCCTTTTTTATAATATCGTGGGACCCAAAAAACGTGAGAAGTCATCGTTTTCTATCGGGGTGAAATGCCCGGAAAGCCCTCAACAAACTTCGATGGAGTCTACAAAGTGAATTACATCTATTTTACATACACATTCATCTGTAGCAGACACCAGAGATGCTGAAGAAAATGGCCGTGATCCGGTGGTTAGTGGTGGCGTTACTGCTGGTTTTTCGCATCCAAGAAGTTCGATCAGGTGCCTCAGATCACAAGTACAAAGAAAAAGAGGAAGTTCCCATTTACGCCAACAAAGTCGGCCCCTTCCATAACCCTAGGTATCTCTTATGGATTCTTTGACTAGATCGCTGTTTCATGCGTTTGATCTTGTGCATCATGATGCTTGTTCTCTACTCCATTTCTTCCGTTTTCATGCTTTTGCTACAGTTTAGTGGATCTGTTTTGTTATTTGTTGGATCTCAGCTTCAGTTATGTTAGTTAGGGTTTTATGTTTCTGTAGTTGTAAGTATCGATCGGATGTGGTGGTCCCTATCACTACGACCCTGTAACTTCCGTCGGCATAGCAAGGAAAGCTGCCCAATTATGTGCAGCTTTTAATATGGATAAAGTGTATACCTAAATTGAGATACAATTCATGTCTGTGGGACTAGAAGTCTAGAACTTCAAATGATCATTTGAAATTTGTTTGAGCGAAACTGGATGAGTCTATGAATGATGGTAAAAGATTGGAAGCGCTAAATTTGCACTTAAATGCTCCCCCATCCTGAATAAAGGAGCTTTTTTTGCTCAAAAAAGTCTAAAAGACTGATTAGTCTCCAGTTGTTAATTGTACCTCACCATGTAATTTGTTATACACATGTATATAGATCTTTTATGCCACCAACCCAAACATAAAGACCTGAATTTGAACAGATTATGTAGTTTATAATGTCAATCATTTATGAAACCTAAATCAGGTTGAAAAGACATTCAATTGGCTAGTAAAAGATCATGAAGTACTACAAGAAGATAGGAATATCATGCTCATGCTTGTGGCTCGGCAACACAAGAAACTCACTTCAGTCCTTTTGTGTTGATGATTATGTAATTTATTGAGTCATTATTAACTAAAAATTATTCCTAAAGTCTTTAGAAAACTTATCATGTTCTTCTATGTAGATAGGCTTTTCAGTAATGATGAAGTGTTGCCTACATCATGCTTCCAATCTGTATATGTTCTTTGAAGTGCATTTTGTTTCTTCATATTTATATACACTTTAGATTTTAAGAACCTTAAACTCATAGTTTACAGCATATATACTTACATGCCTTGTTATACACTCATTTTATATGTCTGTTTTCTTCTACAGTGAAACATACCGCTTTTTTGATCTACCCTTCTGTTTACCAGGTGTGTATACTTGTTATCTTATTACATATTACCTTTCATTATTTTATTTCTTGAATCTGTAATTCTTCATTGATGAAAATGATGATTGCAGCTCATTTAAAGGAGAAGCCAGAAGCTCTTGGTGAAGTACTGAATGGAGACCGATTAGTCAGTGCCCCTTATAAGCTTCCATTTATGGTTGAAAAAGACTCAGAAACTGTTTGCAGAAAAAAACTAACAAAACAGGAAGTTTCCAAATTCCGAAGTGCTGTTGCCAAGGATTATTATTTCCAAATGTACTATGATGACTTGCCTTTCTGGGGCTTTCTAGGGAAAGTTGAAAAAGACAAAAATGACCCTAGCGAGGAAAGATTTTACCTTTTTAAGCATCTTCACTTCGAGATCCACTACAATAAAGATCGTGTCATAGAAATAAACGCGAAAGCTGATCCTAATGCTGTGGTGGATCTCACTGAAGACAAAGAAGTTGAGGTGGAATTCATGTATTCAGTCAGATGGAAAGAAACAAATATTCCTTTTGAGAATAGAATGGAGAAATACTCTCAATCTTCTTCACAACCACATCATTTGGAGATTCACTGGTTTTCAATTATCAACTCATGTGTCACTGTTCTACTGTTAACCGGTTTTCTTGCCACCATTCTTATGCGTGTCCTCAAGAACGACTTTGTTAAGTAAGGACTAAGGAATAATATCCATTTATTTTACGTACACTTCCTTTTTTACCCTTTGTTAATTGTTTATTTGTGAAAAAAGGTATGCTCATGATGAAGAGGCAGCTGATGATCAAGAGGAGACTGGATGGAAGTACATTCATGGTGATGTGTTTAGGTATCCAAAGTACAAGTCTTTGTTTGCTGCTGCCCTTGGTTCTGGGACCCAGCTATTTTCGCTGTAAGTAGAGTATTTTTGAATTAAAGGATAAATGCAAGAAATGGTAATTTGGTAATTTACTTTCATTTCAGCAACTGTAGCAAGTAAATTGAAAGTAGGATGCTTTATTTCTTGAATCTTGCATTTAGCCCTTGAATTATTTATGTCATACTTTTCATGTTCAATGGATTAGTTTCTGAATTGTGTTTACTTTGACTTGTTGATTTTATTCAGTGCACTTTTTATCTTTGGACTTGCACTTGTTGGTGTGTTTTATCCATATAATAGAGGAGCTCTGTTCACTGCATTGGTTGTCATATATGCTCTTACTTCTGGGATTGCAGGCTACACTGCAGCCTCCTTCTATCACCAACTAGAAGGAACAAACTGGGTATGTAATGTTACTCTACAAATTATAAGGATTATTGCTACATTATTCTCTTTACAGTTTATTTAATATCGACAATGCTGGAAGGTGGACCTCATTTAGAGTACTAAATACTTGCCACATAAGCAACACATAAACATAAGCACTTCATAAAAGTTCTTATGTTTTGGCCTCATAATTGATTTAGTCCTTATATGTTTTTTTTTTTATTCAATTAAGTCCCAAAAACCGGGAATTGTATTCAATTTGAACCTTTTACCCGGTCAACAGGTCATCCCCCTTTCAAAAGTTACACTTTTGGCCCAAATTTTAAATTTTTTTACAAGTTTGGTCCAAAATTTACTCTTTTTGGCCAAGATTTCATAATTTTGTTATGATTTCATCCTAAATTAAGTTTTTTTACATTTAAAAAAAAATTCAAATATGTTTTGTTTGTTGTATAAATCATATTTTTACAAAAAAAAAACATATTTTTCACATAAAAAACCTTCTTTTTTCTATATAGTTTTTTAAAGAAATACGTATTTTATAAAAGTTTTTAAGGGTATATAGGGGTATAATAATGTATTTTACATAAGCGTATTTCACGCATTTTCACATAACTATGTTTTTATAAATAGGTATTTAAAATAAAATGATGTTTTTGTAAATACGTATTTTGGATATAAAAATGTTTTTTTTTTTAAAATATATATAGAAAAAGAATGTTTTTATGTGAAAAATATGTTTTTTTTTGTGTATAAATATGATATTATACAACAAAAAAAACATTCGAATTTTTATTTGAAAAAAAATATGTAAAAAACTAAATTTAGGATGAAATCGTAACAAAGTTTTGAAATCTTGGCCGAAAGTGTAAATTTTGGACCAAATTTGTAATAAAATTTAAAATTTGGGCCAAAAATGTAATCTTAGAAATTTGGATGACCTGTTGACCGGGTAAAAGGGTCAAATTGAATACAATTCCCGGTTTTTGGGACATAATTGAATAAAAAAAACATACAAGGACTAAATCGATTTTGAGGCCAAAACATTAGGACTTTTTAAATCGATTTTGAGGCCAAAACATTAGGACTTTTATGCAGTTCTCCCTTGTGTTATCTAAAAGTTTTGTTAACTAAAAACTACAATAACTAAAAAGCTACATTTAACTAGTTTGTGAAAAAAATCTGAAAGTCTAAACATGTGAAATCATCAACTTTAATTATTTCATATATCAAATCAAAAAACATTTCACTTTCTATACAAAAAATAAAAACATATTAGTATCAATAATATTCGATATCAGCATCATTTCTAAAAACATACTAATAAGATCTTTTCAATGTTGATATATAGGTGAGAAACCTACTCTTAACCGGATGCCTCTTTTGTGGGCCCCTCTTTCTAACCTTCTGCTTCCTAAACACGGTTGCAATCGCCTACACAGCCACAGCTGCACTACCTTTTGGAACAATTGTAGTGATTGTTTTGATATGGAGTTTGGTGACATCACCTTTACTTGTTCTCGGGGGTATTGCTGGAAAAAACAGCAAAGCTGAATTCCAAGCTCCTGTTCGCACCACAAAGTATCCCAGAGAGATTCCACCTCTCCCATGGTACAGAAAAACCATCCCTCAAATGGCCATGGCTGGCTTTCTCCCTTTCAGTGCAATCTACATTGAGCTTTACTACATCTTCGCCAGTGTGTGGGGCCACAGAATTTACACCATTTACAGCATCTTATTTATTGTTTTCATCATTCTCTTGATTGTCACTGCCTTCATCACTGTTGCTTTGACTTACTTCCAACTTGCTGCTGAGGATCATGAATGGTGGTGGAGGTATGTCGAGTTTTTTACCTTTTGAATCCGTACTTTTTTCAATATAATTTCTTTTTGAATTATTTTTTATTTTCAGGTCTTTCCTATGTGGAGGGTCAACGGGTGTTTTCATATACGGGTATTGTTTGTATTACTACTATGAGCGATCAGACATGTCGGGATTCATGCAGACCTCCTTTTTCTTCGGTTACATGGCTTGCATTTGTTACGGCTTCTTTCTCATGCTCGGCATGATCGGTTTCCGTGCCGCCTTGTTCTTTGTCCGCCACATTTACCGCTCAATCAAGTGTGAATAGAAAGCTCAAATCTCAATGTTCAGGGGCTGCTTCAACCAGGGGAAAAAGAAAAAGATGAAAGCTATGAGAACAAAGTGTCCAAGTTAGATGTTTGATGGATGTTTTGATAGTTTATGTTGTTTTTTTTTTTTATATATATTTTTAAAGTTTGACGAGAGGAAGGAAATTGAAAAGTAGCTACTCAATTTTGGCTTTGGGCATACATACTTGTCTTTTTCATTTTAAATCTGTACTTCTGTAGCTTGTAATTAATGTTTGTATTAGTTTTTACTTATTCACAAGCCCTCTACATCCTTTCCACCTGTTTTTCATATTGTGATATGACTTTGTGTATGAAATTTTAATTCCTCCAAAAGTTGGTTCAAGTAGTATTTTTTTAGAGCTTTGGCTTTTTATGTTAGGAAATCTTATAAAAAGTCACTGAACTTTGGTTCTATTAACTTGAATAGTCACTCATGATTTTTTTTAACGATTAAGCCTAGAATATTGGTTTTTGTTTGCATATTGTCTCCAACACCTGGTTACCATTGTTGACATGGCCCTTCATTTACACATACCCTCTTAAAGTTAGGGTTTTTACGGTCAACATTTTCATTCATTGAGAGCTTAAGTGAGGACCCAAACAATCCATGTTTGAAGAGTGTTTTTATAGAGCTCCTTCCTTGTAATGAAGCCAAACATTGATGCATGAGGCAATAATTTCGTTGGCGCAGACCAAGATGAGAAATTGAATATCACATACATAGATGTTGGAGAAGAAAACAAATTCAAAAATAGACCACCTTCTGGGTGCAACAGTCCTGAACACACTGCATCTGATGCTTACATCCCTGATTCGAAGATCGAGAATGAAGAGGATTATGGTTCTGATTTTGAAGACGACACCATGGAAACGGGCCATCAGTCTAAGGACAAAGATGGTTTAGGGGTTTATCTCCTTTGTATCATATCGCAATTTTGAAAGACCTGATTACACTTTCTTATGCAAATTGGTTATACTTTCTTAATGTTGTATATCATAATTATAGGGTTTGCTTGAATAAACAAATGATATCCTTCCTTATGTGGAGCACATGCAATGTACTAAACACATATATTCCAATTTCAGGAAGGTATACCGAATTGCTTATGAACATCTGAATTAAAGGAATCCAATTACATTGTGCATGACTTATTTTGGGAGTGGAATAGCTTGTGAGGCAGTGGAAGATGGCATCGTTGAATGTTCATTTTCATCATCTTGGAGGCTAGGAAGAAACCACTCATAACTATGCTTGAAGAAATCAAATTATACATGATGGATAAGTTTTTTTAGAATGCTTTAAAAGGTTGGTAGATGGGAAGGTGATGTATGCCCTGCTGATATTAAAAATATGAGAAATTTTGGTGAAAATATGAGGTATGCACTTTTTATCCCTTTTCCTTTTAAAGACCGAAAAGTTTATCTTATAAAGTTGTTTACATACTAATCTGCAGGAATTGGATTATTTTCCCTAGTGGGATGGATGCTTATGGAACTAGGAATGGCTATGAACTCTATTGTGTGGATTTGGGGTTACATGCGTGTTCATGTAAGCCGTGGGTCATCTGTGGATACCTTGTGTTCATGCACAAACTAATATCTATTACACTCATAAAGATCCAACTAAGTTTATTAGCATTTGGTTTAGTAAGGAGAGGTACAAAGATACTTACTCTAGGAATTTGCATCATGTGAATGGAAGTAATTTACGGGTGGCTACTCCATATACCAAACCACTCCCCCAATAGCTAGAAGGATGCCAAGTAGACCAAGTATTAAGAGAAGAATGCATATTTCTGAAAATAATGACAAGTACTACCATATGGGAAGGTCTAGAATAATCCAATGTACAAATTGCCGACATAAGGGCCATAACGAGGTTTCATGTAAAAATCTAACAGTTGAACCAAAAACAAACCCTAAAAAAAGACGGACACCTAAGCTGGATCCAGCTTTCAGTTATTAGACAAGGGGAGGTCATAGGGCCTAAGAAGAGGTGCTAATGGTAGAGGTCAGATGTGAAGAGGTGCTAGGGATGGGGGTAAGACGGATGAATGTCTAAGTGGTCAAAGGGATGAAGGTTCGTGATCACAACAAAAGGGAAAATAATGAAGTTAAGGTGCAAGAAACATAAGTACCAGATGGTGTAGAGAATATGTTCTTATTTCAAGTGAAAGATATAATTGCAAAAATTGAAGGAATCCAACTACACTGATGATGAAATAATGAAATGTTTAGGTTTAACACATACCGATTATCTGCAATCCTTAATATCAAAGAGATTCATATGGAGGTTGATATGTCCATGGTAAGTGTTTATCCATATATATATATATATATATATATATATATATATATATATATATATATATATATATATATATATATACTCTCATCATGTGTCATTAGGATTATGGTTTTCACACTAAAGAAATTGGTCCAAATACTCGGGTAAGACAAGATGAAAAGGAGGAAGTTCAAAGTGATGAGGAGGGTATATAGGAAACCCGATTGCTAGTGAAGGTTATAAATGAAACCCAATTTCTAGTCCTTGAGCATGTGGAGAATGCATATGCAGATCATGGTCTTGTGGAGGTTAAGGAGGCCATGTGAAAGAATCACCAAGAATAAGCTAGCCAAGCATGTGGTTGACAAGTATGGGATTAGAACCAATATAGAAAAAAAGCTCATGTTGTAGAGTAGGGGGTCATATTTCATGTCTTTTAGTTGTCATAGTGTAACCTTTTGAATAGTACCATAAATTGGGCAAATTATGTTGATGGCCCATTTTGTTAATCTTTTAGATATTATCTGCCTTTTCAAAAGGCTAAACACTATGATATTGTAACCTTTTTGTTAATCCTATGATATATAATACTTGGAACAAGGTTTGTTTATTGTTTTCTTATTGCATTTTTACTTTCTTCCTTTTCATTGATCCAAACCATGGCATTGTTTACTTTCTTACCATGTCAATGATGCAACACATTTGAATCCATACAAGCCATAATATTTTTCATTGATCCAAATTAAAAGAGTACATGTTTGGAGCATAGCTCCAAACTAAAATATTACATCATACTAACATATATAAAAACCATTACAACAATCACTATACCAACATATATTGCAATATTCCAAGTTCCAAGTGATACACCAACATGATTTTTCAAACCGTCACCTTTCACAACTACTTTTACTTCCACATTTTGAGCATGATGTTCCATACCACCACTTCACATTGTTGCTTCTACTACAACATTTTGCGCATTAGCTAAGTTGTATAGTTCCAACATTTGGTCTTTGTATCACATATTGGGTAGGGGAGGGTCTATCCAAGCAAAGTAGTCACAATCCTTCTCTCCACCCCACAACTTAGAACACGAAGTCAAAAATTGTTCATCCAAGAAAATATGTAAGCTTTTACCTTGTAATTAGGGCATCTAATAAATCTGCTACCTGTGTTTTTTGCGGTCCATGAATAGGGGTGCAAACGAGTCAAGATACTCGAAATAGACTTGTTAAAAGCTCGACTCGAGACTTATTTTAAACGAGCCTGAGCCGAGCTCAAGCTTAATATTAGGCACATTTATCAAAAGAGCTCGAGCTCGAGCTTGTGTCACTAAGCTCGATTAGGCTCGCTAGCCTAAACGAGCCTATATATAATACAATTTATTATTATTTTATATATTAAAATAAAAACATATTTAAGGAATTAGAAATTTAAGGTGTTAATAAACAAACTTCTTAACGTGCTCGAACCAAACTTAAATTATTTTTAGAGTAAAAACATGATACAACTGCCCAATTTATGCCCAATATACCACCAATTGTACACGATTACTATTATCAAATGTATCACCAATTTCTATGACAGCAACACACTTATACTTTGGAAGCCATTATTTTTTTGCCTTTTAATTTCTATATATTAATATTTAAATGATTTTTTTTATGATTTTATGTTAATACTTAATAGTACTTCATACATTTGGTCTTATTGTATTTTAAATATTTCACATAGGTAGGTTGTTTGAGTAGTTATGTTATGTGCTTGTGTCAGTAATAGGGGTGAGCATTTAGACCGGTGGACCGGTGAACCGGACCGGACCAAACCGTTTTTTTGGACCTCTGGGCCGGTTCTCGGTTCTAGGAATCCATCAAAATCGGTCCGGTTTTTTTCCCGGTCCGGTCCGGTTTTTATCGGGTTTAGAACCGGTTGGACCTGATTTAAAAAAAAATTTGTAATCTGTGAAAATTTTTAAACAATCATAACTCATTCATTTTAAATCGGATTGACACGTGTTTTTTTTCCAACGTTTAATTTACAGTTTTGTAGATAAATTTAGACTATAATTTTGTTGATTTTGGTATTATATTCAATGAATTACAGTCTTTCAAAGTTTAGCTATCAAAACTGAAAAATTTCAGCTTTTTAGCAACATATTTAAATTTGTAATCTGTAAAAATTTTTAAACAACCATAACTCATTCGTTTTAATTCGGATTGGCACACGGTTTTTTCCAACGTTTAATTTACAGTTTGTAGATGAATTTAGACTATAATTTTGTTGATTTTGGTATTATATTCAATGAGTTACAGTCTTTCAAATTTAAGCTATCAAAGCTGAAAAATTTCAGCTTTTCAGCAAGATTTTTAAAATTTTGTAATCTGTGAAATTTTTTAAACAACCATAACTCATTCGTTTTAAGTCGGATTGACCTGCGGTTTTTTCCAACATTTAGTTTACAGTTTGTAGATGAATTTAGACTATAATTTTGTTGATTTTGGTGTTATATTCAGTGAGTTACAACCTTTCAAAATTGAGCTATCAAAGCTGAAATATTTCAACTTTTTAACTATTATTTTAGACTATAATTCTGAATTTTATGTATCTTTGACAGATAAATCATATGAAAGAGATCTTGGTGAACTTGATTTATATGTTAGTTGCTTTTATTTGGAAAATTAATTGTGCAAGTTATAATATTATAACATCAAGGTAGATTAGTTATGCATGAAACGGAAACGTAATCATTTTTACAAGTTGTATCGTATCAAACCCAATAACATATTCGTTTTAACGAGTTATATCAAACCCAAAAACTTGTTTTAACGACTTGTACTCTATGCAATTAAAGTTGTACCGGTCCAAACAGGTCCAAGAACCGGAAAGCCCGGACCTGGACCCGAACCCGCATACGGACATGGACACGACTCCTCCATCCGGTCCACGGTCCACAATATTCTCCATAACCAGTCCGGTCCGGTTCGGTCCCAATGCTCACCCTTAGTCAGTATTATTTTATAAATTACCATTTATTTTAGTTTAACGAGTGATGATGGCTCGCACGTTGCTCTGGGTTTATTCATTTTATATTTTTGGCTGAATAAACCAATATAAAATAAAGGTGATGGTGAGGTTTTCTGTTTTTTCAAAAACCACAAATTTGTGGTGCATTGCGGTTATCAATTTTCAAAAACCGCACTGCACCGTATATATTATATACAATTTTTTTTATTAATTATTAATATATTAAATATTGAAAATAAGACAACTTTCATGAATAAAAGAATGATAAAATTCTATAGACAAAAGTGTTGGTTTTTGTTATGCTTAACTTTGGAAAATGATGAAATTTGACAATTTTAAGATATTTATTGTTAATTACTAGTGATTTGATATTTTTAAGATATTAGTTGGTTGTGATTTAAGTTAATTGTCTTATACCTTATGTTTATTATTATTATTATAAGTAATATGTTTGAACTCTTAAAACCGTTTGAACTCTAAACTGTGGTTAAAAACTACAAAAAATAACCACACCAAATCTATGCGGTTAATAACCGAAACACAAAAAAAAAACAAAAAAACAAAACCACACCGCAAAAATAACCGCCTAACCGCACCAAACGGTTTTGAAAATGGATTAACCGCT